ATCTACTAGTCTTAACATATCTTGACCTTTCCTGTATACCCTCCCTGAAGTGTATGTGAAACGTGAGTATATCTTTTGAAGTATATTGTTGCCGGAGCATATCTGATACCCTGAGTTGTTGTTCGTATGGCCTGAAGAATGTAAACTCTCATGAGGCATTGTGATCATGCGAGTATGATGCATGAAGTATAATGGTTTAACACGTGTATTGTATATTGTAAGTCCATTGAATATATAATTTATAGGTCTAATGTACCGAAAATGTTAACATTTCAATCTGAAATTGCCGCTGTTAGAACCATTTTCACGTAAGAATCAAAAGTGTTTTGTAAACACGCAAAACTTTGAGGCTGTTGACGCGTGCTTAAAACACGGCTCCACTTCCTTCCACGGACTGTACGGTCTAAAGGACTGTCTGTAGACTAATGGACTGTCTACAGGCAATCGGTTAGACTGTCTACAGACAGATTAACGGACTAACATACTACGTCTCAGAGTATCACGACAAAGTACACTGAATATAGCTCAATAATAGTGACTTAATTAATGTATTTATACAGATGTTGTTCCTAGTAATGTTTTATGCTGTGTAAGGAAAATGTTAGTTTTATTAAACGTTTCAATATTATGTTTGACAATTTATTAATGTCATATACGCAAAAGTGCCGTCTTGCATAGGTTGCTGTGCAGCCTTTTGAAGCATAATTACCTTCCTGTTTTCTTTGTATAATTTTGCTCGTTTTCTTTCTTAATTTAAGCGCAAACTTTTTAAGATTAAATAAACCCTAGTTGTTTGTTATAAACTCAAAAAATATATATTTAGATGATAGTGTAGGCCTATGAGACAATATTATGTCAATATAGTGAATATACATAGAGATGAAGCATTTAGTATAGAAGCATATTAGGTCAGGGGTGATTCACCTCGTATTAAGTTATAATTAATTTGAATGTATTAAAAAAACTGCATTAACTTAAATTTTCAGGCGTTTCTCGATTTTAATAAAGATTTACATATCCTTGTACATATTAATTTATGCATATTTAGTCAACTGAAGCAAGAGTATCAGACTTGTTGTATGTGATCTTAGTCAACTGAAGACTGTTGTATGTGATTTTAGTCAACTGGAGACTGTTGTATGTGATCTTGGTCAACTGAAGACTGTTGTATGTGATTTTAGTCAACTGGAGACTGTTGTATGTGATCTTGGTCAACTGAAGACTGTTGTATGTGATCTTAGTCAACTGAAGACTGTTGTATGTGATTTTAGTCAACTGGAGACTGTATGTGATCTTGGTCAACTGAAGACTGTTGTGATTTTAGTCAACTGGAGACTGTTGTATGTGATCTTAGTCAACTGAAGACTGTTGTATGTGATCTTAGTCAACTGAAGACTGTTGTATGTGATCTTGGTCAACTGAAGACTGTTGTATGTGATCTTGGTCAACTGAAGACTGTTGTATGTGATCTTAGTCAACTGAAGATATCTGTTCATTTATGTACCAGTTTAAGTCACGTGATTTAGATTTCTATAAATATCAGAATAAACTCTAATGTATAATGTTTATGTATACATTGGTAATGTATACATACCAATGTATAAAGATGAAATCTGTGCTCAATACATTTTGACTAAATACCATTATCTTTAATTTTTAAACTACAGTATATATGCAAGTTCAATATTTGTTAATAATCTATAAAATATTCTAGAGTTATTTTGTTCAAATTTAAAGACAAATCTAATATATTAATGCAGTATAAATCGGAAGATATATGAATTGTTTTAAGACTAATTACCCTTCAAGGATTTGTTTTCAGAAAAATATTATTGACCTGGGTTGCTTGTAATCAGGATATATATATATATATATATATATATATATATATATATATATATATATATATATATATATATATATATATATATATATATATATATATATATATATATATATATATATATATATATACAGCAAAAAAATAAACTAGTTTAATCACCCCAAATCCTGATTTTTATTTTTCTCAATCCACTGGCAGCTGTTGCTGGGTTACAATGTGGTGTCTGGCAACCGCTACTGGCCGGCTGTTGCATACAAGGCTGTATTAACATCGTTTTTATGGAAGGCTGGATAACTTCGTTGTATGGCTGGATAACCTTGCAGTGTGTGGGGCTGGATAACTTCGTTGTATGGCTGGATAACCTTGCAGTGTGTGGGGCTGGATAACTTCGTTGTATGGCTGGATAACCTTGCAGTGTGTGGGGCTGGATAACTTCGTTGTATGTATGGCTATATGTATTGTATGTACGTTGTATGTTTTGTGAGACGGTTTTGCGTACGTGACAATATCCCATTTTCTCTGAGAAGCCATTACTGTATTCCTATTATGATTCTCTCATGATTATTAGATTAGTAATTTTAGTATGTCCTAACATGACCGTTTTGGCTTGGTATGTTAGAGGTTAGTAATTTCGTGTCTGAATTTCCGACAAGTGGAGTACTTTAAGGATTGGTGCTGGGACCAGTTCTATTTCTAATATACGGAAATTAAATGTTTCTTTAGTCCCCTATATGTCGATGTTCGCGGATGACGCAAAATTAATGAGAAGAGTTGACATGAGGATTGTAGGATCCTCCAAGAGGACTTGAACAAGTAACAGAGAAATGGCTACTGGAGTTCAACACATGTAAAGTTATGGAAATGGGATTAGGTGAGAGGAGACCAAAGGGACAGTACACAACAGAACAAGGGGACATGGGTGAAAGCTGAAAACTCAGATGAATCACAATGTGTTAGGAAGTTTTCTTTTAGCGTGAGTAGTGGAAAAATTCAATGAACTTAAGGAGCAGACTGTGGAAGCAAACTATTCATAGTTTTAAAACTAGATATGATAGGGAAATAAGACAGGAGTCATTGCTATAAACGACTGACGGCTAGAAAGGCGGAATCCAAGTCGATATTCGATCCTGCAGGCACAAATAGGCGAGTCCTCACTCTCTCACTCACTCTCTCTCTCACACACACTCACACACGGCTCGTTCCTCTCAATGTTTGCTGATGATGCAAAAATTGTGAGGAGGATTAAGACCGAAGATAGTATGAGGCTACAGGATGACCTTGATAAACTGAAGGAATGGTCCAGCAGATGGTTACTAAAATGCAACCAAAGTAAATGTAAGGTAATGAAACTAGGCGGAGGAAACAGAAGGCCAGACTCAAATACCGAATGGGAGATGAAATCCTTCATGAAACGGACAGAGAAAGGTCTAGGAATTCATCTCGCCAAACCTGTCACTTGAAGCCCACATAAAAAGAATAACATCTGCGGCGTATGCGAGGCTGAGTAACATCAGAACTGCCTTCATAACCTGTGTAAGGAATCCTTCAGAACCTTGTATACCACAAGTGTAAGACCAATCCTGGAGTATGCAGCCCCAGCATGGAGCCCGTACCTTGTCAAGCACAAGACAAATCTGGAAAAAGTTCAGAGGTATCCCACTAGGCTAGTCCCAGAACTAAGAGGCATGAGTTACGAGGAAAGGCAGTGTGAATTGCACCTTACGTCGCTGAAAGACATAAATGCTCCGAAAGACATAATCACCACCTGCAAAATTCTCAGGGGAATGACAGGGTCGACAAGGATGGATTATTTAACACGGGAGGTACACGCACAAGGGAACACAGGTGGAAGCTGAGTACCCAAATGAGCCATAGAGACATTAGAAAAAACTTGTTCAGTATCAGAGTAGTTAGTAAATAGAATGCAGTAGGAAGGGATATGGTGGAGGCAGACTCCATACACAGTTTCAAATGTAGATATGATAGAGCCTAGTAGGCTCAGGAACCTGTACACCTGTTGATTGACGGTTGAGAGGCGGGACCAAAGAGCCGAATCACAACTAGGTAAGTACAACTAGGTGAGTACACACAAAACAAGGCCACGGTTCTTGACATTTATAATCAACCTTTTCCGGATTACATATTTTATATTTCGTTTATTGATCCAGTTTCGCTAGAACATCCGGAACACGCGACCTTGTCCCTGTGCTTGTCCTGGACCCCTGTCAAGTCCTGGACCCTTGACAAGTCTAGGATATCAAGTCCTGGACCCTTGACAAGTCTAGGATATCAAGTCCTGGACCCTTGACAAGTCTAGGATATCAAGTCCTGGACCCTTGACAAGTCTAGGATATCAAGTCCTGGACCCTTGACAAGTCTAGGATATCAAGTCCTGGACCCTTGACAAGTCTAGGATATCAAGTCCTGGACCCTTGACAAGTCTAGGATATCAAGTCCTGGATCCCTGTCAAGTCCTGGACCCTTGACAAGTCCTAAACCTTTGACAAGTCCAGGATATCAAGTCCTGGACCCTTATCAAGTCGCTATAGACAGTGTTTGTTGCTGGACAGGGCATCAAGTATCTGTCTTGAGATAACACTTAACTGTTTGAATGCTACTTAATGTTTGAATGTGATTCAGCAATTATATTTACACTCCTTCAAATGTTTGCATGTACAGACTCACGTGTTTGTACTTAAGACTAATTCAAAGAGATAATTTAAGCCCAGCAAAAGTTACGAGAATATTCATTACAATTATGTCGTTCTACCCTCGTGGAAACTTTGTAAGAGAGTGAAGGTGTTGCGACCTTGGATTGAACACTAGTTTTTAATGTGTAAATGGTAGCTGACTCAAGAGTCCGTCAGCTGTGGTCATCATGTCTTGAGTGAACTACTTGACGCATGTTCCTTAATTGAAAAGCATTCACGGTTCCCTATACACGCATTAGATATACATGTTGGATTATACAATCAACCCCGTGTCATATTTGTAAAGAAACATCATAGCCTCTGATTTTAAATTGATGTATAGAAACGACATTACACACAAAATTCCTGATGTGTCGGGGCGACATCTGATTGGTTGGCAGTTTCAAAAGGGGAGGAGCTTAAGTGAATGGAGTGCGGTGATTGGTGGAGGAAGAGCTGCCCGTCCCCGACCCTGCGCATCCCGACGGCTCACTGACTGGTCCTGGCCCGGGCTTCAGCTCAGTCATCGCCTGGAAAAGAGCAAGAGAGCAGTGTTCGCCGCTTGTTCCTTGGCAGGTGAGTTTTGTTTATATTATTATTGCAATTTGTAGGTTACATTTTATTCTGTAAAGTGGCGTCATTGTGTAGTGTTTCGTGCGACCTTGCTGGCGAAGAGTTTTGGGAAGGTTTAGGTTTTTATCATGGAAAAATATCGATAAGGATATTGGGTATTGGTCAGTTTCAGAATCTCGCAGTGCATATAACATGTTGATTTGCAATATGTATGTTCAAATAAGTTTGATAGAGCACGTAGGACAATAATAGTGTTTATATCGTAATTTATAATTCATTTCTCACTTGCGTTTATGGTTATTGTTGCCTAATAATTTTAGATTTATGAATCAAAAACTAAGATTACACAGGGTGACGGAGCCCCGCTAATCACACATTTGTGCTTTTCTAGATCATTGTGGAGACCAGCTGAGGATCTTGCCCTCTCTCCCCCCTCTAGTGGCAGCTACTGTGACGTCTGTGGTGCGAAGATATTGTAGGGCAAGTTGAAGATACGAGGGAAGCAATATAGTGTGGGAGTGAACTCAGTCACGCAAGAAACTAAAAGTATATCAAGCCAAGAGTCTGAAGAGTTGATACTTGTGAGTGGAGGTCACACTGGCCTGGGGGAGGTGGTCACGGGCTGGTCCCAGAGACGTTTGATGTCAGGTGACCAGCCACACTGACGCTTGCCATGATGTCACAGCAAGATAACTTATATACGACGATGACGAGGCCCGGCGCAGCTCTGCGACTCTCCCTAATGCTGCTGCTGCTCCCTGGGACCCTCGCTCAGCAGAAGGTCAACATCAGTGAGTACACTTAACCAGTACTATCTTGTTCGCTGGTAATGACCAGTTGCTGATCTGTGGCTCCAGGTACACCCTCATGGAACAGTAACATGCTAAAAGGGACTACAGATGCTACGAGGTGGTGAAACTGGACCTTTATCGTGACGAGAGCAGCGCTCTTTTGCACGTTTCCTGACGTATCTTTACCGGGTGCTAAGTCCTTGGGGGTGGGGGGGGGTTACGGACAGCCCAATATCAACACATGCTTCTGGTATGACGGTATAGAGTTATTGCTAGTACCGGTGATGGGTATTATTAGTACTGGAACACTGTATTAACAGGGAAAGAGGGGGGGGGGAGGGGCGTCATAATACCTTACTTGCCCTCAGTCTACGTAAATTGCTCGTTAGCTTGAATGGGTTTGCAGATCGATAACTGAAGGTCATCTTTAGCTGTGTCAAGGATAACAGGTTTGGTTGAGAGACCCAAGTGAGAGGCAGTGAGGTGGGGGGGGGGGGGGCAACGCTCGGCCTATCAGTGGTGGAAGACTGGCACTTGACCACACTAGTTCAATGTGCAAGGCTGTTGTTACACCTTCATGGGATTTTATTTTGATGCAACACGCTGTGTTATGCGCTTCTGTTAGTCAATACACAAGCATATACATAGCCTATGCATGAATGTTACCAAGCATATACATAGCCTATGCATGAATGTTACCGCCTGAATGTGTTTACATAGTCTTAAGTGTGTGTTGTTAAGCAATGGGGAAAGAGAAGGGGGAATAGTTATACTTGACAGGGATGTGCTACAGCTCCCAAAGTCCCCACTTTTCTTTAGTTTTAGTTTTTCCACTTCAGTTGTGGTGTAAAGTTTGCAAGCGTACAGAGTCATCATATCTACATTTGAAGCTGGTTATGAAGCCTCCTTCCACTACATCAGTTCTTAATGCTTTTCACGTGTTTGCTTTTTTTGATACGTTTTGTATCAAAAATTTACTTTACGATAGGAGATAAGATAGGTTGATACTTTTTGATCTGTATTCCCTAATTAATGGTGTACCATCCATGGTAAATGGTCTCTCCTCATGTGTTCGCCCTATTCCACTGATAAGTCTGTGTGTAGTGATCATGTCTGAGTCTTTTCCACAACCAGGTTTAATTTACTTTCTCTTCATTCTTCATACCTCTTGGCTTCGGAGCTTGTCTGGAACTTGCCTCTGAATCGTCTCAAGTTTCCTTTTTGCTTGAGATAAGGACTTCATGCTGGTGCTGCATATTACTGAATTGGTCTGACATTGGTATACAAATACCCTGACACTGTTCAGTCTCCTCAAGGTAGTGTGTGTGTTTGCCAACCTTGCACATGTAAGGCGAGAGGCTCGGTGTTACACTGTGCTTTACCTGTTCAGTGTAGTTTACTTCCCCATTTGGTATCTTGGACACCAGCTTTGTTCTTGTCGTCTAGCTTTATTGGTGGACATTTGGTTTAGTTAAACTCAATTAGCCACCTCTTGGACCATTCCTTTTTATCAAAGAAAGTTACTGTGGTTCTGACGCAACCTGTCCTCTTAAAAATAACGTCGCTTTTGGCCATTTGCCCGTATGGCCGAAATTGGACGTAATTTGAAAATGAAAAAATGAAAATAAATTTGGGATTTTTTTTTCAACAGTAAGTTAAGGGTCCTCTGATAGGTTAGGTGGGCAGGAAAGTCTCATAAAGTTTCAAAACGCTATGAAAAACGTGAATTGAAAGTTTCTTCTAGCGTGTCCGAGTAGGCCGGACGACTTAAACGGAACAGCACGTCACTTTTGTGAGTCGATTTCATTTCAAATAACGTTCAAATTTGGCCATAGTGCGCATACGAGCCAAAAGTGACGTTATTTTTAAGAGGACGGGTTGTTGACCCATGTGGGGCCCCACTGGTGCCAGTCTGGCGTTGCTGAGGTATTCCCTCATCCATGTTAACACTCGCTCACAACTGGTATTACATCTTTTCTACCAGTCTACTTTATAACGGTTACAAAAGTCTGACAGACTTAGTGTAATCTGTGTCGCCCGGTTATACTTGTTAGTTGCCCTGCCGTCTTTAGATTATATGTGGATTAGTTTTTTTTAAAGACCTTTTTCTACAAGTGTTCAACTAGCCTCGTGTGACCTTTTTGCAAGAGCCACACGCAAGGGGGGCACTTCCCTAGAGTTTAGTGCCTCTTGACTTTTATTTAATAGTGACTTGTCTTCAAATCATAGTAAGTGGTCAGTACACTAGTTTCTTTCCTTAGTTGTCCACTGTAAGGTCATAACTGGCGCTCCAGCCAATTCCTTGCCAAGCTCAAGCTCTTAAGTCTAAACGTTCGCCAATGCTGCTAGATTCGACGCCCTTTCTGTTCGTAATAACATGACGGTCAGCTGTTGTGACCCCCCGTTGTATAGTTCCTCACGGACTTTTTTTTTTTTTTTTTTTTTTTTTTTTATTTTTATAAAAGAATACACAATGTACAAACCAGACACCCGCCGAACAAACAAGTTATAACAAAGGAAGTACCACGGAACACTAAACATACCCAACAAAAACCAAGAAAAAAAACACATGACACAAGGCACAAAAAAAAAGAGAACCCAGAAACGGGGACAGTATGTACCACAAAAAACAGAACATGTCATTAATAGCACACAATAGAAATAACATACAATAGAAATAACATAAAACATAGGCACATCCACACAACCTTAAGTACAGAAATACAAAAGGAGAACGCACATACAAGCCCAGCCCAACAACCCAAACACAGGTGCATAAAAGTATAGAACAACAGGCCTCCGAAACCCCTAAGAGGCAAAATTACAAAACTACATTAAACAAAAAACATGGAAATACATACAGAAAGTCAAACAGAAATAACTGAGTACATTTCTTTTTTCTTACTCCGTTTCCTCAAATCATAATTAAAAAGACATAATACAAAGGCAGAACACAAAACACAAATCAAGAAAGAACAGATAAATAATACATAAATAGCACAAGGCAAAGTACATGGCACATAAAAAGAGAAATAACAATCAGTAATGGCAAAAAAACACTCATAACACAGGAACAGTAGTACATGAAAAGGGGGGGGGAGGACAAAACATAACCCGGGCACCCCAACCCCCCCACACAGAAAATCACAAAAGACAGAAGAGGCACGCTCCAAAGACAGAGGAGCACATAAGCATACATACCACAAAGAACAAAAATGCACAAAACATAAAACCCATACAAGGCAAACAAAAAGGCCCACGCAGGAGCCAGGGAAAACATAAAAACCACACCCACACACAAGCACACCCAAACGAAACACACACCCACAGGAGCAACCACAACAGAACAAAACAACCACACACACACACCGCCCAACCCCCGCCGAGGAGGCCCATCGGAGGACCGGGGACCGAAAACAAACCGGAACAAGACCCACCCAACCAACCCACAGCCAACATCCACGAGCCCAACCCACGACCAATCACTCAAAAGCAGCCCCACGAACATACGCACCAGTAAACCAACCACAAAAATCATCCGGAAAAGCACGCTGCAGCCACCACCAGGTGAACCGTAAGCGCCCTCTCAAAAACCCCAAAACCCTATCAACCCCATAACCCTCCCTCCGGCCAACCCACACACAATACACATAGTCAGCGACAAGAAGACAGAGCGTATTACGCACCCGTCGAGAGCCCCGCGGAAAAGACAAAAACAAAAACGGCAAAAAACCACCCCGACATCCCGGCCCACAAACCACGGCCAACACAGCACGAAACCAAGCAAGCAAACCACTCAGCCTCTCACAAAAATAGAAAACATGTAACTGAGTTTCAGGCAAACCACAGTGGACACATGCGTCAGAGGCACGCAAACCCAGCATGCACAACCGGTCATTTGTCGCCAACGACAAATGCAACATGCGAAACAACAACTCCCGCTGCTGCGGCGCCAAAAACCGCGCCCCTAACGCCGCCCACACCTCCCCCCAATCCCAACACGGGAATAAAGACTCCACCCGCGGCTGAACACGACAAAATAGAACCCCATAAATCGCCTTCACTGAGAGAGACATATAACCCGGACAACGACAGACAGCCCGAAGAATGTCTACCGCCCAGGAGTAAACAGGAGGGGTACAAAAGGCCACCTCCCGACAAACACCGCAATCCACCAAAAAACTAAACCGGACCGAACAATAAAAAATACACAAAGCATTGAGCCCCCCACCCAACGCTAAACCCTGACGCAACGAGACCCAGAACAGCGCCCGAGCCCTGGTAAACACATCAGGAATACCAACCCCACCTTCCCGCACCGCTAACACCAACGTCGAGCGACGAACCGGGTGGTAACGACCACACCACACGTACCTATAAACCTGACGTTCCAACCCCAGAGCCAGCCGGCGATCTAGGGGGAAACACCGAGCCACGAACCAGACACGTGACAGAACTTTACAAGTAACAAGCAACGCCCGCTGATAAATTGTTAACGGGCGCGCAGCCAACAACCCAACCGCAACACCAACACTACGAGAAACCGCACCCCAATTAAATTCCAAAGATCTCTCGTAAGAAGCGAACCAGGTGATCCCCAGAACTCGCAGAGAGGAGACCACCGGAAACCAAGACCCCTCCCACACAAGGCGAGAGGACCACCCACCGATACCCATAAGACCAGATTTGGCACGATTGACCTGGGCCCCAGTGGCCAACTCAAACCTCTCAACCACGACCTGGACAGCCCGAACAGAACCAGCAGAGGCCACGAACAGGATGGTATCATCCGCATAACCGCAGATGGGTAACCGAAGATCAGAAGGCAGCCGGGGGGGACGGATCAACGCACAAGCCTTGACCGCCCGAAAAAAAGGCTCCTGAAAGAGCACATAAAGGAGCATGGAAAGCGGACAACCCTGCCTCACCGAACGGCGGACAGGGAAAGGAGCACTCAAGAACCCATTGATGCAAACCCGACTGCAACACTGAGCGTACAA